ACAACCCCACCCATGGATGCAGTAACCAAATTGGAGACGGTGGCAAGCATGCTGCAACCCTCCGCTGGCATGCCCGCATCTATCCTTCCTCGCCGCTGCCCCTCTTTCCGGCGCAGTATCTCCTCCGCCGTGAGACGTCTTGGGCTTTTCTAAACACAACACTCCCTTTAAGAAATGATCCTTCAGACGGGAAAGAGTGCCGGACAATTTGAGGTCGCAGTAATTACATACGCACCAGCACGACCCCTTCGACGGATCCTTACCTGCCGTGGAAACGGGAGTGAAATGGCGCTTGACCATGTCGCCAGTGAACTTGCGGCTCGCCATTGCGACCTGCACGCATCGAAAACGGGCAGGACCACCAAATCAGCCATAGTCCCCATTACATCCCCAATTCACCCACACCAGACTCTATGTCCTCCCCCCTCCCGGCGTAGACTCCTCCAGAACCACCGCCCCCTTTCAACACGGCTGGCCAAACAGGAAAAACTTAAAAAAAAAGACAAAACAATTGCCAGCAGTCGCTGTCTTCGGAAGTCTGCCTTCAAATCAAGTGGACGATTATAAAAATAATTAATAATATAACAGAAACGAAGAAAAACAGACAAAAAAAAAGGGGTATGTTGTCTGCCTTCTAATCAAGTGGAGGAGAGAAGTATGGCAGATGCAGGAGACTGGGATATGGCGAGCAGCAAGTCCAGGGACAGTAAATAACGAAAAAAAAAAAAAAAAACTTTCGGTATTTCCAGCGTTTTCCAGCGGAGGGGATGTGGCAAGGAGATGGGGGGTTATAGTAGGACCTGGAGGACGACGAAGGAGAGTGGAGATGGAGGAGGAGAAGAGGTGGAGGGAGGAAAAGACCGTACCTGTACATCAAGCCCTAACGGCCCCTGCGCATCAAACCCTAAAGGCCCGTCTAGATCAGCATGACCCCTGCGCAAGGATGACAAACACAAATCGAGAAAAGGTCGAACAAAAAAACCGGGGTCCTTCGGGACATCCGGCGCAATGGGAACGACACAGAGATGATTAGCATGACCCTGGCGCAAGGATGACACACGATTCGAGAAAAGGTCCAAAAAAAAAAAAAAAAAAAGCTCGATAGATTGGATTGTTTTCGAAATTTCGATACCTAGGTGGGAGAGGAGGAGGAGGTGGACGGCGAGGAAGGGAGGAGGAGGACGAGCGGAAGGAGGAGGAGAAGCACGCAGATGAAGGGGAGGTGGAGGAGGACGAGCCCGTGTCATCCTTGCGCAGAGGTCGTGCTAATCTTCTCTGTGTCGTTCTCAATCTTTGGGAACGATACAGAGAAGATTAGCACGACCTCTGCGCAAGGATGACACGCAAAAGGTTGGAAAAAAAAAAAAAAAGCTCGATAGATTCATTAGTACATTACCCGGGTGGGAGAGGAGGAGGTCGTGAACGACGAGGGTGACAAGGAAGGGGAGGAGGACGACCTGGAGGAGGAGACGAAACGGAGGGATGGGAACGCTACAGAGAAGATTAGCACAACCTCTGCGCAAGGATGATACACACAAATGGAGAAAAGGTTGAAAAAAAAAAAAAGCTCGATAGATTCACTAGTACATTACCCGGGTGGGAGAGGAGGAGGTCGTGAACGACGAGGGCGACGAGGAAGGGGAGGACGACGACCTGGAGGAGGAGATGAAACGGAGGGATGGGAACGATACAGAGAAGATTAGCACGACCTCTGCGCAAGGATGATACGCACAAATCGAGAAAAGGTCGGAAAAAAAAAAAGAAACTCGACAGATTCGACACCTGTGGGAGAGAAGGAGGACGACGACGACGAGAACGGAGGACGAGGAGGAGAGATGGAGGACGAGGAAGGGGAGGAGGAGTAGGACGAGCAGGAGGAGAGGAGGAGGAGGAGGAGGAGGAGGAGGAGGAGGAGGCAGTGAGGATGATGAAGGGGAGGTCGAGGCCGGTGATACTCACCGGGCGATGGCGGCAGCTCCTCCCTCACACGGCAGCACGGCAGCACGGCAGCACGGGGCGGCACTTGAGAACGGTGGCAGCTCCTCCTTGAAATGGCAACGGCACTCCTCGCAGGAATGGCCGTGACTGACCACACACCTACCCAAGAGGCCCAGCCAACCCCACACAGAGTAGAAAGAACTGGAAACAGGTTCCGAAAATTTGAAACCTCGCGGTCCGGCCTTGAGCGCGGTCCGAAAAAAAAATAAAATTGGCCTTACGCAACAATTTTGGCGGGGGGCGTCCGATGTGCCGTTTCGACCCCTGCCTTTTTTTTTTTTTTCGGGGGGGGGGGGGGGGGGGCGGGCCGTTCCCCGCACACCTCGTGCGCCGCGCGGGAACGGTCGGGCCCGTGCGCCGGACGTCGGGAAACTCGCGCACGACGTGCGCTTGCAAGTATGGTATGGACTTATCAGGAAGGTGACCCTATGGGTCATATGGAAGGAAAGATGCAGCAGAACGATCGAAAGAGTGTCCAACTCATGAGAAGGCGGAGACGAAAACAATGATACAGGCTGAAATCCTTTGCAGATGGCGGAAAATCAAACTATCATGGTTGGACGATGAGGAACAACAAAAGAAGGCGAGACTGAGATTCAGCAGGGTATGGTTGAGAAACGGGAAAGTTCCTGATTTACGAGACGACCGCATCTGCTGGAAGGACTGGCACAACTCAAACTCAGGAAGAAGCGTTCGGCAGCAGATAGATGTGCACGGGCAAGGCACCTCCTGATCAGAATCCCAAAGAGAAAACGACGAACCTATACCATCATGTCCGTTGAGGAACAGTCTGGGAATGGATGTACGCCACCGGAAGGCTGGAGCAAGGGAGGAATGGGTTGACTCAGAGGATGTTAGAGTAAGGATACAAGGAAGACAGGCTCCCATATCACTCAAAGGAAACAGATACACAGTCCTAAATCCCAGCCCAGAAGGGACAGTGAGGTCCGCTGGCAGAGGGGTTAGGGTTTAGGTTTTTGTAGCGTTCAAAAGAAGGGGAAAGGCTTAATGGGATAGGGGATACCTTGACTCATGGGCAGGGCTGATGAGGGGGAAAGCACAGGCAAGCAGAAATAATGGGCGAGCTTTTTCTAGGTGACATAGCACTATCTGGCAGAGCTGGTTTTTCAGGTCTGAGAGGAAAGAGTGAGTCATGGCAAGCTGACAGTCGATCCTCCACCAACGGAAGTAAGCGTGAGTTTCTGCTGTAATGTAATGCATTTTCTGACTTGCCGGTGGAATAGGAACCGGACTGACAGTCCTTCGGGACATCCGTTAAAATTGGAACGATACAGAGAAGATTAGCATGGCGCCTGCGCAAGGATGACACGCATAAATCGAGAAATGGTCCAAATT